GGAGTGAGTACAGAAAAAATGTGTAATATCAATGAAATACAGCTTTTCGAAGGTCTGTTACTATATACTAAAATTGGGAATAAAATCATTCGCATAGGGGAAAACGACCCAATGCGGAAATAGGTGTTTCTTTACCTGGTTGTAAAGACAATTTCCAACATTTTGCAACTAATGTAAGTCTCACAGGATTCTTTACCTGCAATTATTTCTGTAGTACATGCTTAAAACCGTATAACGATAAAGACCAGCATTCGTGTGAAACAACATGTACTGTACTGTATACAGACGTCTAGTACAATGTACAATGTCATGTCGTACATGCAACAGGCTTTGTTGATCACCGGAATGCTTCGTGGGGAATGGAAATGTCAATGCTGTTAAGAATATTACACGGGAGAACATCTGTGTTATCAGAGAAAAATTATCAATGAGCTTAACGATAATGTAATGATTGAAAAACTGAAACAAAGCAAGATATATTATTACAGTGCAAAAACGGCTACAATCCTACTGGCATAACGTGTGAAAAATGCACGAGTAAAGTTAAGAAATGTGAAAAATGTAAACTTTATCAGACATGTAGCAAATCTTGGTGTGGTTCTAGAGAACACACAGTCAACCTCATTTGTATGCTGACGGCTTGCAATCACTGTAAAGAGAGGCCAATACTACATACTACTAAATGCTTTAATTGTGGCGTTCGTTGTCCGCTTTGCTCTCAGCGTGATAGCTTTCAAAGCTGGGCCTTGTGCCAACACTTGTGGTTTTCGAATGAGAAGATTCAAAGACAGTAAGGCTACGGCTGAATTCTGCAGAACAGTATTTTTAGACCAATATCAAAATAGCATTGTCCTAAGTCACAACGGAAGTGGCTACGATAACTATTTCCTTCTTGAATGGTTAACATCCAACTCCATCCGTCCAGAAATCATATTTAGTGGAAGAAAAATTATGTACATGTTAGTGCGACGGTGGCTGAACATTAAGGTATTAGATTCTTTAAACTTTCTGCCAATGAAACTTTCGAAAATTCCGAAAGCATTTGGACTAAAGGAGTTGCAGAAAGGGTATTTTCCTCATTTTTTTTAACACAGAGGAAAATCAAACTTATGTTGGTCCTTACCCACACACCAGGTATTATGGAACTGATTACATGAACACATCAGACAGAGAATACTTTTTTTAATTTGGTATGAGACACGCAAAAATGAAGTTCTGGATTTCCCAAAGAACAAAAGCAAGAATACATTCGACTTTATCAAGAAAATGAAGGTATACAACTTGACTATGGTAGCATCAAAGAAAATCCCGGTTTACGAAGTTTGGCGAAGTTATGCCTAAACACTTTTTTGGGGAAATTCGGTCAAAGACTGATACTAAAGAAACATTCATACTTTCACGAAACTGAATCTGACAGATTCTTTCAGGTGTTGTCAGATCCAACGAAAGTGGTTGAAAATTTTCACATAGATTCGAAAGACACCATTCAATTAGAATGTTCACAAAACTCACTCTTTCCACCTGTGGATGTAAAAACGAACATATTCATCGCCATATTCACCACAATGTGGGCACTTGTAAAACTGTACTCGGTTTTAGACTTACTCGTTACTGACTGTTTATACTACGACACTGACAGCTGTGTGTATTTGTCTCGCACAGGTACAAAAGAACTAACCCTTGGAAACTATATTGGAGAACTTACGTCCGAAATTTCACCAGAGGAAGGTCACATTGTAGAATTTGTATGCGGAGGACCAAAAACTATGCATATTGAACTTTAACTTCTGAAACTTGCAAAGTGAAAGGATTTACTCTGAATTTTGTGAATTCTAACATAGTGAATTTCGATGCCATCAAAAGCATGATTGCTCGTGACAGGAGTGCGTATAAAATACTAACTAACCCAAGTAATATCATCCGTCTTGCAACACATAGAAAAATATATAGTCGAGAGGAAAACAAAAAGTACTGCATCACATACAATAAACGGGTTTTGCTAGACAATAATAATACCATCCCTTACGGATATTGACTTAAGAGAGTAAAAATGTGTTTACCACAATTTATTGAGAAATGTACAAAGTGATTGTCAAAACAGATAAGTTCAATATTTTAACCAATGTTTCTTTTCTTTCGTGTTTTTCAGGCCGGGTACAAGTCACGTCGTCCTCCTTTTCTCTCAAAGAATAACCCACCTGATTGTTTGAACTGGCACTTTCTTTTTCCTGATATCAGTCTTTTTGGTACATGTAGTATTTCTAAAATATATTTGAACTTTTTATCCCCCACTGGTGGGTTTTTCTTTGGGCACACATAATGGCGAATCAGGTCGATAATATGTGACCCCGGTGTGCCTTCTCCATTAACGACTAATTCACCCTGCTCATAATGGCCTAATACGTTCTTATCTTGAGTCACAACGATTTGTAAAGTTCCATAGCACGTTTGTTTATCCTTTTAGGTATAGAATATTCTATCATTGGATAGAACGTGTTAACTGGATTTTTTTCTTCTTCATTGTCATCGTGTTCGACTTTTTCTCCTCCGTCTGTGCCTTTATTATCTGTTAATGACGTCTGTTTCATCAAACGATCGTAGCGTTCCTTCGATATCAAGATGAGTTCCTGTGCCATTATTGTTTGTCCAACAGGGGTAGAATGGGTTTGATCAAGAGTGTTACCAGAAGCGGATGTTTCACTAAAATATTCTTTTTTCGCATGTGTGCAATCGATCGAGAACGCAAAGCACGAATGTTCAACTGGTAAGGTCTGAACTTTCTTATATGATGAATACTCATATGCAATACTCCCCTGAAAATATTCATTGCTATGTCCGATAGAATATCGATTTGCTCGTTTGTTGCAGACTGAATCAGTACTTTACTTTGTCTGGTTTCGGAATGGTAAAACAAAATTCTGAATTGTACTGTATGATGTGCTTCTGGTGGCATTTTATAACGCAATGATATGTTGTGAATGTGTTCTCTTGTTTTATTCACTTTGGTGTATACACTAATGTGACATCATCAGTTGGGAATATCGAAGTACGTAAGCGATACCTCTTATCAGTATACGGTGATAAGTCGCTTATGTTATACCCACCAATCGAAACAGATCTTATAGCTTTTTCGTAAGCCCCTTTAAAATATTTAACTTCGCCTGGAAAAGCCTGACTTGCAAAGACAAGGAGTTGTTTTGTATCCCTATTATTAACCATCAGGACGCATATATGAATATTTAAATTTATGGATCAGAAATGAGTTCCTTTTTCGAATATAGTTTGTGTGATGTAAATCACTGAACAGTTACGATGATGTGATAGAACTGTGACTAGGTGTAAAGCGTCGTCGCTTTTACTTATTTATCTCATCATGTCATCAAGAACAATCACTGTGTTTTTCTCAGGGTCTGTCCATTCCATGATGTCAGTTCAAGACAGTAAACCCTTATGCAAGTTGAAATTGGGTATTGTATTTTCAGCTTGCCCTTAAGTGGGTTTATAATCGGTATAGCAATAGACGATTCTCACTGGAGGTACCTTGAACATGGTTGATGCATGTTTGAGTAATTTCATAACGAAAGTTGTTTTCCCATTTTGCGTTGCCCCCGATACCATGAAAGTACAAGGGCTTTGAAAAGGTAAAATCGTTGTCGACGTTTCCATGACGGTGTCTTAAACATGTGTGATGGACCGGGGTGGAGGACAAACAATTAAATACTGTGTAAACAAACTCTAAATTTTATAAACAAAAACTAAAATACATGTTGACAAATGTAAGAAAAATACGATCGTTTACATCACTATTTGAATGGAAAAAAAAAACTCAATATCTTTTAATGAATAATTTAAACATACAAAAAGTTAAAACAAGCAAACCACAGCGAGAAGAGTTTTTTTTAACTGAACTTTTACATTAAAACACTCGTACTTTCTCACGTTAGAGTTCAAATAGAGTTTCAGTTCTTCACCATAATATTCAGGAGGGTTTCCAAAACTATCAAAACACATCCTTTTGAGATTTGTTCCTGAAAACGATGGCTAACCAATGTTTTCCTTGTCGGTCGACTCTATCACTGTTTACGATGTAGGCTCTAGGGAACTGTGTCATTTCATCCGTTGGTAAGGTATTTCTGGTATACACTCCTTTCACACAATGTTTTGTAAACATGGATTTGATCTGATCGCACATTCTAACTCGTATCCATTCATGATTGAACGTATCGAACGTTACGTGAATGATTTGTATATTTCCAGAAACGAATCGAAAACTCCGAAGGCAATACAAGTAATGGCTGGAGGAAGTGCAGCGCTGAATTTCATTTCAAGTCTAGCATTTCCACGTTTTACCAAGTTTATATAGTCTTCCCCCAATCCACTCGGATCCAATTAGAAAGCATATAAGGTGCACCCATTACCAAAATCCTCTCTGGTAATGGTAAGTCCAGCATCTTTATTGAGCTTTCCACAAACTTCAAATAAGTTCGTACATGCCACTTCATATTGCCGATTATCTCCAAAGCCGAGTTTCAATGGCTAGATGGAACACTCTCTCCATTTACATACAACCTTACGTCAGTGGCATTGAAGTGATATAAATAGAACGGGTTGGATCCGTAAGGACTGTTTCCACTCTCTTATCATATCAAACCAACCACCAGAGTACTAGGGCGAATGGTAAATAGATTGTCCCAAATGAACTCACTTGAACTTTTGTTGATGGTGGTTCTCTTGACTTCAGTACGTTGGAAATAATAACGTGCAGGTTTCGTTTCAATCTGTTTCATATAGTTGACGAGGATACCCGGATCTACTTTTATTTTGCACGCTTTGTATACACAGTCCAATATCTTTAACTTGTAGGCAATTCCTTCCTCACCTGATATGACGAAAAACGGATTGGTACTGCGATAAAATTTAATCGACAGGTCAACACCTTGGATTAAATGTGACCATGTGAAAATATGTCTTCAAAACGTCGTCCTTCCATTTCGAATTCTCTAATTATCTTCGTGAAATCCCGACGAAGGACTAGACCTGTGTTTCCTCCTGATTTTCATCTGTAACTGTTAAATCAACAGCATCTTTCATAAAAAGCGGTGATTGCAGTTGCGATTTCTGCTCGTCTGAACCACTGTTCAAAATCGTTTTAAGGTAAGTTTTCCACGGGTTGTTTGAAGTACTGACGGAGACAAGTTTATTGTTCATATACACATCGATTTGATACCACATGGCTTGAAGTGGTAAATTAACAATACTAGTCCTATCCGTATCATCAAACGCTTCACCGTTACCTTTGACGAGCTTTGCGCGAACGTACAGCCTACTCCGTCTCAAATCCATATATTCAGGACCCAGTCCAGAAATGAAAAATTCAACTGAAGAAGCATCTGATCTCTTCGTATTGGCGGCTCTTTCCACGGCTTTGTTAATAGCTGATCTTAATCTTTGTACGTAACGCCATTGTCTTTTGTTTAAAACTATATCACTTGTTGTTGGGATGATTCCTCTGAAATGACGAATGCCTATCCAAAATTTATATTGTTCTGGTAAACCAAACTGTTTGAAATATCCACATAACGTATTATTGATTCCACTGTTTTGATAATCTACTGCTCCTTTAATCTTTATACAGTCGGTATAGTTAGTATGCTCACTCTTCTTAGTCATTCCATTGGTTAAAGCTAAACCTGTAGGCATTAAAGCCAGCAGGAAAACGACTCCAGTCCATTTTATAATGTTCAAATACATGGTATATTTTTCATAAATTGACGGTAAATTTGAAACCACACTTGATTGAGATGGTATTAAACTTTCCGTAGAAAAATTGGTCGTACCTCAACTGTATCAACTAAATCAATTCAGATTCACAAGATACTGTTTTTTAAATCATGTTGTGTTCTGAACGCACAGAAGTTGCAATGACAATTTTACATGAATGTTACGCTTGTATACACAACGGTTTATAAATAAAAGTTCTCCGAATGGATTACAACTTGAACAGCTCAGCATGCTCTCTTGGACTTGATGATCTTCGCCTAAGATACAAGGAACAATGTCTTCGAATTCTGGTACAACCTGTCTGACTTCAGTAAATGTTCCTTTAAGAGCTTCCCACTTATCGTATGTTAAAGAAATACCTTTCTTTGTTGGGACGATTTGACTTGAATCAGGAATCTTCCAACGCTGTCTCACGTCTAGCTGTTGGATATATTCTATTCACAGAAGGTCATTTCAGGATTTCCGTCAACGTCATCAGTCATCTGCCCTATTGCATTGTCTATGTCACTAACATACATCTCCAAAAGCAACCATTGTGATAAATTCAAAGCTATCCCTTTCTTTGTTGGAATATTAGTATTTGCTGATTTTTTCTCGTATTTGCGAATATGGAATTTATCACACCATTCGTTAGCAACGACAAATATGTCCCCGCCTATAGAATGATAAAATGCATCTATCTTTGCTCACTCCTATAGCATCAGTCACTGAACATTTCAAAAGATTAACCATGTTTGATTTTCCCTCCATAGCCAGTGCAGTGCAAAAACAATCGAATGCTTCTGAACCTCTTCTCTGAATGATGGATATTAATTGTCTAGTTCTGGAATACGAATTTGTCTGTTGTAAAATATCTTCCTTCAATTCATCAGTAAGTATTCCGCTCTGGTACAGATGATCTATTATAACATCCACCGGTGTTTCTCTGTCCAATTTCACGAAGTTACGCTGAAGATAATCTTTGTGTTCTTTCTGCATGTTGTCAGTAGCTGTGTTTCACTTAAACTGATATCGTGAAAAGCTATTTACAATGCTTTTATACGGTTTTATAACTAGGAGTGTCATGATGAGAGTAAATACTAATAGTCTTAGTTTTTGGGGGTATAGTTAGTGCAGGGGTTATTACCTGTTATTAAACTGAATATATTTGCTCTATGCTCTGGAGTTAAAATAGGTGCAATTATTATCTCAGTTGTGCGAATACGTCTTTGAAAACGATGATGATCAACTCCACACTGTATCCAATGACCTTTGCTTGCCTGCCGGTATGCATAGGACCAAGATATCACGTGATGCATTTTCTTTATTTTTTCTCCTGGTAAAAACAGAGTCTACAAAACAAAATACATCAGTCATAATTCAATTGCGAAGTTAGCACTAGTTGCTTGATATGTTAGAAAGTTGTTAACATTTACTCACACTCTTCCTTTCTTTTGAAAGTACGTTTGACATAGCAAGTGAACAGATTTATTTTTCTTCAAGGGAAAGATTTTATTTCAATACCCAATGTTTTAAACTCTAAACACCTCTGTTTTTTACGACCTCTTATATTTATAAACAATTGAAACTTTGCCTCCCTCCTTTTTCATATTTTATGACCCTCTTAGATGAGAGAGTGTTTTTTTTACATTTAGAGGCTCAACAATTACGACCCTTCCTCATCTTTAAAAATTGTTGTGGTTTTATCGAGTGCTTTTTTGAGAAAAAAAATACATGCGTTGAAAGTTGTGGGTGTTCCGATATATGCATTTTTTATGACCCCAAAGTTGTGGTGTTGTGAGTGTTCACTAATCATCTCATATTTTATGACCCCAAAGTTGTGGGGTGTGGGTAGTCAGTTATCATCTCATATTCTATGACCCAAAAGTTGTAAGGTTGTGGGTATTCAGTAATCATCCCATATTCTATGACCCAAAAGTTGTAAGGTTCTGGTTGTTCAGTAACTATCCCATATTTTATGACCCCAAGTAAGCATCCCATATTTTATGACCCCAAAGTTGTGGGGGTTCGGTATTAATCATATACTACTATCATCAAACAACTGATCTTAGATAACACAGTACTAGTGCATACTTTTTACGTCTAACATTAATCATAATTCCCATTTTGATTTTGTCACGGTTAACCATATTCTCCAACCATTAGTCGGTGCTTCTGCATTGGTATCACTACGTGTGCATTTCAGCACACATCGACAGATCTATCAGATGAAGGGTAGTGAAATCTTACGATGTTTGCCGGATGACTGCGAGGGAAGCCTAGAATCAGTCGAGGACAGGAGCCAGTATATGTGATTTTACAAAGTTCAGACAAACATTCTTTTCAATATATTATTAATTTAACTGATGCATACTTAACCAGTTTTGGAATTTACTTAAACCGTACATGACAAGAAAGAGCTTTAGGGCTATTGTTTTGTTGAATGAAAACCAAATAAAAAAGTAACTGTATATATTTTTGTTGTTAATGTTGGGTTTTTTTAAGGGGGGATTCGACAGGGAAGGTAGTTTGAGAACTTACTTCCACAAATAACATGCATAGTATAACTTCCACCGTGGACTTTTCTATTTTTGAAGCAGCACTTTCGTGTGCTATAAATATTGCCAAGCAGATATAATATTCCAGAGCTAGAGGATTTTCTTATTTTAGGTTCTGATTAATAGAAAGATTCTAAATTGAAGATTAATAATAGTAAAATTGAAGTCATCGATTCTTAGCAGTAAATACAAGTAAATTTTTATGTTAAATACAACCACACCAAGGACAATTGTTTTTTACTAGCCATCCGTTTTAATATCGACCAATTGATATAATTCCTGGAGCAGAGCTTATTGATAATAAAAAAAGCTGTATGATAAAATTGAAAAACTACTCTAACTTCTTTTCATTATTTTAATTTCTGTAAAAACTTTAAACCACAAAAAAGAAAGAACAAAATGTATATAATCTAATATTATTAATTTAATATTTTGAAGGATTTGTGATTCGTTAAAACTTTATCACATGTACACATGTATTTACTCAGGTGGCACACCAATACTTTAGCTTTTCATAGGGCATATTACACAGGGCATACAGCATGTTACTAATAATACATTATATGAATCCCCAATTTTACATTGTTCATGCAAAAGTTGTTGATTGATAATATAATAATTCGTCCTCAGTCAATATGCTTCTCTTAGGTCGATATAACCTCGTATCGACCTCATACAAAGGCTATAATTGTATAACATCTAGCAAATTCTTTTGAATTTTTCGAAATACTAAGAATGTTATACCCTAGGAATAGATTACCTAAGCTGGATTTGGCAAAACCTTTCGGATTTTAGGTCCTGAATGCTCTTCAACTTCGTATTTTATTTGGTCTTTTTGACTTTTTTTATTCGAGCGTCACTGATTAGTCTTTTGTAGACAAGACGTGCGTCTGGAGTACAAAATTTGAATCCTGATATCTATGATGAGTTTACTTTCGATGTGTTGGTGTATTTACCATTTCAATGCTGTTTGCATGGGTGTTCTCCGGTAAAAGAATCGGGCATTTTCCTTGCATTGCATTTGGACACAATCGATAATTCGTGTTTTTTAGTTGACCTTAGTAAGTAAAAATTAAATCAGCAGAATAACAAGTCAATTTTCTTAACAGGTTTTTTTTTCTTTCCTCTTTGTGTAATATGTCATGAAAGCACATTTTTGCCATTTTGATGTTCTATGTGTACTGAATTGTCTATATATGTTAATTTACCCAATATAATATATTACACTTAATGGACTAATCTACTTTTTTTTATCTTGTATTCAAATGAGGATTAAACACTGCCTAAAAATTAAACCATGACACTCTTTTGATTGTTAAATTGTTTTCTGTCTGTTGTCTCCAAACGAATATTATACCGATTTTACACCTAATGCACATTTTAAAAAATATGTTTTTATTTGTGATTTAGAAAATAAAAAAGTTGCAGGCCATGGAACAAAATCAGGTTTCTTTGTGTAAGTTTATAAATCCGTGTTTTATTACACGAACTATTTCATTACTATTGTATGATTTAAACTGGGTCAATGAGTAGTTAAATTACCAAAAGAAATAACATTTTTCTGCTTAATTTAACAGCTGTTCACTTAAAACAAAGATTTAAATCAAATACAAGTCATTGATTTCCACGTAATGTATCTTATGAATTTGATCTCACTTTCAATGTAACTTGAGACTGCAAAATTGTTGATTTGTTATGATCACTGGAGTTTGAAAATGTTATATATCATGTATAAAATAATATCTTAATTCAGATTTTGACAAGGCACGACGAGAAAATGATAAATACACATTTTGGGAATATGCTTCGTTTGAAATGTACGTCTGTAACGGTAATGCTTCTTATTGGAATATGTTTTACAATAATAACATTGCTGTTTATGACCTTATCTTTCTCAACAAACTATTGGGTATCATATACAGTTAACAGAGACAATCTTACGACTAATCAGAGAAATGATTATAGTTTAAATGGGAGATACGCATATTCTAGACACCGCGGTCTTTTTCGTGAGTGTTATCCAGTGAAAGAATCGGGTGTGTTTCTTGCATTGCAGTCGGACACAATCGATAATTCGTGTTTTTTTGTTGACCTTGATATTCCTGGTACGACCTTCACGACTCTATCTAACCACTATATGAATAGAGTACATTTACTCAGAACATGTATCGCTTTTTTCATTATTGGAATAATCTTACTTATTGCACAGTACGTATTAGGTATGGTTATCCTATGTTATCGCAGACGATCAAAATATGCGTTCATAGCAAGCTTTCTGTCATGTTTGGTTGCTGTTTTCGATGTTGCAGCCATTGCCTTTTGGCACGGAGCCTTCTATTTAGAGCAAAATAAAATCACTGACACTGTCGATAATGTGAAATTCTTCAATTCATGGGATTTTGAAATAAAAATTGCTACAGACAGCAAGTTTGGTTGGTCTTATGTCTTAGGTTGGATAAGCTTCTGCTGTGCCATCTTTACTGCAGTAGCTTATTTCATAACTGGATCAAAATTAAGCAAGAGATATAATAAAAAGAGAACTAGTGTAAGGTTCAAACCTAGAAGGATAAAGGCTCGATACAACAGGAACAATCGCTATGGTGGTGTTGTCCATCCATGGTATCTAACAGGACGTGATGGCATGTACATGAATTATCCGTATATTTACGAACCAAATCCATTTGTGAAAATGCAAAACTCAGATTTTGTCTTTGATGATTATTTAATTCCAACCTCTTTCCTTTATTAACTCTGTGAGATGATAAAAAAAGTGTAAGAAAAAGAAAGCTGTATAATTTTCCACGGATTTTATTTAAAGACTAAACATTTTGTACTTTATATTACTATCCAACTAAGTGTGTTTGGAACAATTTATTTGTTGACAAACAACCGATCAATAACAAAATTAATTATGAATTTTAGCATTTACTGGTTTAAATCCGAGAAAAAGTCAAACGAAGTTATTTAAGTAACTATAGTGACATGTATTGTGCACTGCCATAAAAACTTCTAAACCAAATCAATCGTATGGAAATAAAGTGGTGTATTGATATACCATAAAAATTATGGACATGGCGTAATCCAGAATGCTATTTCTTAACGAAAACATTCGCTTATAAGAAGATATAGAACTGCATTTTCAGATTGTACAGTATTTAATATCGGGATAAGAGAAACTCTAAGTCGTATAACTTTATCCAGCAGAAAGTGATGCGTTTTATTATAGTCCGACATTAAATGTATAGTGTTTCATATGAAAACATAGCAGCCCATTTGCAGTATAACCCATGACACTAGTATCGGATTTCGTATATTTTATATGCACCTTATTTGCTGTGCTTAGTGATATCTACACTGGCTTCTATCATGTATATGAAGGTTAGAACGTCATTCTTATTTTACGTTCTACATTATGATAGTGTGTAAATAAATAAGCCTATA